TTCAGCAGTTCAACACAATCAGTTTGTCTGGTATTTAAACCCTGATGACAAAGGTTAAGATTCTAATAATGTTTTCATACTTCATGAAAGCCAGACACTTATGAAATTTTGATAGGTGTAAGGATAGGATGTTGTTAATGAGGGCCAGCTTACTTCCTGCATCTGTTTTTGAGTACAGTACTGAATATATCTGAATAACGCAATTTATTAATGGATTCAATACATATTTTTATAAAGACACATTACATACATACATGCATGCATGCATGCATGCATACATACATACATAGTGTACATAGAGACTCAATCAAAATACAATTGGTTTATATAGCCATGCTAATTTCAAGAGGTATGTTTCATTTTTACCTATTTCTGTTGGGGCTTTGTACATTCCCAAGCAAATTCAATATAGAACAGTAGAGAACCTGGGTACAACAGCAGTTGTACAAACAAAGTTCTGGAAAGGGTGTTTTGGGGGTGGGGTATGTTTGAAATAAAACAATGAAAGCAAGTGGATAAAAGGTAAAAAAAAGTGCTAGTGCTATATACAAAAAACAGACTACTGAGAGTAACAGAACTCTCATAGTATAATAATAAACTGTGACTATTAAACACATCAGATCTATAATTGTATCAAAAGAAATTAAAAATTGCTATTAGATAGCCTGGGGAGGAAAAATGTTATGATGCAAAGTTAACCATTTCTGGACATTTTTCAGTTACTTTATCTTCAGTTACTTTAGTGGTACTGCTGTAAAAATGGTATATGGACAAATATGCTTTGTATGCATATTTAAAGGCTGTCAGAATACCTATTCTGGTATTATACAATTACATGATTTCACCATCCTCTGAGAAAAGAAAACTGATCAACAAACTCAGCAAGCCATTCTTAGAATCAAACTCAATTACTCTGCCATGAGCACTCTGCCAGAATGCAGAAGGTGGGAAGAGGCAACCAAAGATACACAAAGATACACTCATATATGATATTATGTAAGTGAAAAAGGCTGCACTGTGGTCATAGCAGAGTTGATTGGAAGCAATTCTTCCTGCTTAATATGAAGTTCAGAAGCATGAATATAATTTAGGACAAATTTCCTAGCCAGAAAAAATAGACTATTTCAGTGATGAGTAACTGTATGGAATATGAAAAAATCACTTAAAGGCCGTTCAACTGTTCCCACAATGGCACATCTAAGGTAAATCAAATAGAACTGCAATTATAATTACCTAGGCTTAACTGAATAGACAGCATGCAATAACTGTAAACAAATAAATAAATATTGATGTAGATTTCACTTGCAGGAAGTAGATAGATCAGTGTGTAAATGCAAGGGTTCTCACAGCATGGAGGAACTGTTGAAGTTGACTTTTTATTTGATCCTTTCCTTTTAAGCCTCAAGGTCAAAGTTTATCTAGAACAAGCTAGTTCCTTGTAAAAGTTTTGGTTTTATAACCAACAAACAGGATGCTAAAGGGGAGTAGGAAGAATAAAACAAAGAATAGCTCAAGTATAAGGCTTCAAAATCTTTTTATAACAAAATTCTGCAGGTTGTCTTCTGATAAACTTGATACACTGACTCCAACTAGGAAGCTTCAGTGTCCAGCAGAAGGTCAATAATTTTATAACACAAAATAGGAAAATCCTGGAGGAGTTTGACCAAAGGCAGATTAGAAGTCCTAATTTTTTTCTACACTGAATACAGGCACAGGATTTTTCAACTACTGCATAGTGTCAAGTTCTTTCTGTGCAATCTGATTTCTCTATGCCTGCCCTTCCTTCTTAATTAGATGCTCTATCAAGTACCAAGATCCACTTTCTCCTTGATGGTTTACAGTATTATCATCAATTTGTTTCCAAATTGCCCAGCCAAGTATGCTAAAACCTGTATGAAACAGATTAAAGAGAATTCACACCTCATGAGTAAAGTGGTGCTTTACCTCATCACAATTAACTATTTTGTTAGAATTGATGCAGTAACATAAATTACAAACTGTTCACTTAGTCAACCTACCAAAATACCATGATATATATTTTAATGCAACTTAAATCAAGTGGCTGGTTAAAGTTTAATCATTACTCAAAATACAGATTGGTCCTATATCCAGCATTATAGTGCCAAAACAGATCTCAGGCTCTTGTAAGATATTTATCTAGATTAGAGTTGGGGGTGGGTGGAAGAGGTTGGGTCTCCCAAAACTATCCAATAACTGCAAAATATAGCCATTCTTCTTTCAGTGATTTTTGTGATGATGTTGGAAAGGAGCTTCAAAACCTAAGTATATAGTATCTTCCAATGAATCTTCCAGGTAGTTTGGCTAACTCAGCACCAGGATTAAATTCATTCTTTCTTCAAACAAGTTTGCTGAGCAAGGAACACAGCTGACTAAATCTATCCTAACATCCTTGTCATCTATATACAACGAAAATTCTTGTGTCTGGTTGTAATCTTCACTCGGGCAAAATAGTGCATCATAGGAAATCAGTTATTGATCTACGGTGCCTCAAATGGGTTAACTTACAGAATGTGTCCAAAATCAGAGACCCATCACTCATATAAGATTGAAATTTGGCAAAGTTGCAATTGTTCAGCACCCTTGTGCCTTTCAACTACACTTCCTATAAACCTGTAGGTTGAATGATGCAAGGGTACATGTTTCTTGCCTCCCTTTGTCCCCTGCTGGTGATGGAATCTGATGAGTGAACAGTTGGCTGCTTTGGAACTGTGGCCAAAATGTGAAACCTCTTAACAGTGGTGGGCAGTAAGGGAAGGGTAAGACAACGATTTGGATGTCTGCAGCAAGGTGGATGTTGCGCTCACTGAGCAAACCCTCTTCCTCCTGGGAGGGAGGAGACAGAATGGGGACACTGGGTTCAGTTTCTCTTACAGTACACAGTTCCCTTTGTTCTCCTCCATCCAGCAAAGTTGCAGGCAATTCCTTGGCATAGCCATGGAGGCAGATGAGTGATTTTCACACTCCCTATCACCTTCCTAGAAGTAACATCAATAGGGAGGCCAGCAGGAAAATGGAAGTCATTCCCATTCCCACTACTTTTTTGCTTGTCTGGGGTTATTCCGTTTCTCTGTTTAGGTAAGGATTTCTGAAAGGATGACCCAATGGGTCACAGGTTATCTAGCTTATTCTGTAACTGTCTGCTTGCCAATTTTTAGAAAGGTAGTTCAAAACAAATATGTTCCAAGTTAGGAGTCAAATTACACAGCACATAAAATGGAAGATAACTTAAGAAAAGTAGACATTTCTATATTTGGTTAAAATGTGGCACTTAAGCCAAAGCTTTAATTTGCAAAACCAAAGCTGGCTACTACTTAACACTGCTCTAGCTTAATTCCTCTCTTCTTTGGTTATTGTTTTATGGAATTTTTACTTCTTTAGCCATTTCTGCCAATTCAGGATAATACTTCTCTTTGAAATAGGAAGCCAAACAGTTTTCTCTGCTTCCTAATAATCTCTCCTCAAACTGTTCTATGTATCAAAGCTGATTTCATTACCTGCCACCTGCTGCTGTTGCTACTGCTGATGGTTTTATTTAAAGCACAGGCATATGGTGAAGAAAGAATTCATCGTGACCCCCCTGAACTACTGCAGATGAATGCTGTACTGTAGTGACAGAGAGAAGCTGCTGCTGCTGCTCTTTCTTATGACTCGGCGTCAAAACCAAATATAATGGTAAGGAAACCTCCCACGTTCAGTCCTTGCCACCCTTCCTCTCAGCCATTTTTAAATACTATAAATGATTAAAGGATTTTTTTTTCAAGGCTTCTCTATCAAGAGTAAACAGATACAATATAGGAGGTTCTGTAAAACATAACATCATTGAAAACAGTAGTATGGCCAGCAAATTTTGCCAGGAATATTGACTCGGCAAATTAAATATCTTAAATTTTCATGAAAAAGCATGCTGGAGGCTAACCTGTAAAGTTGAAAAAAATCCAGAAGATGACAATCATGTTCATATTATTGCAAAAAACCTCTATGTGTACTTTTCCACAAAGCCAGCAGGAGTAAAGTTTGGCTCAAAAAAGGTCTTTCCTTTTTATTCTTTTTGAATGGCAACCCCATAAATTGAACCCATCAGGAATGAGAATCTGCCATCAGCTGCTTTACTTTACTCACTTCTTGTAGAACAGGGGCGTCAAACTGCCGGCCCGCGGGTTGGACGCGTCACAAGGAAACCGTGCCCATCCCATTGCTGGCAATGGGGAAAAAGCTCAGATACATCGTGCAACGTCATGTGACATCGCGAGTTTGACATGTCTGTTGTAGAACATCTCAATCATTAACTACAGCAGAGAAAAGTGGACCTGGGCTATGACAAGTAGTTGCCTTAGTCTGAAATTCACAAAACCCCATTTCTTTTCTACAGATGGTATTTCAACACAGTTGAAAATTTTTCACCCCTCAACTTATTATTTTCTTCCATTGGGCAGGGAGAAACCAGGCCAAATTATGAAAAAAACCCAATTAATAATCCCAATTACTCTTATGAAAAATATTTTCATCCAGAGATGTATTTAAAATAGATATTTAAGATTTAGTGAATTCATTAATCATAAAAACACCACATTTACTAATATATGTCTTAACTTTGTTTACCACAATAAAGCAGCATTCCATCTATTGCTCTAATAGTACAGTACCTGTCAATACCTTATTACATATTTCCAGATCCATTAGGTATGAGCACACATTTACAAAGGAGCACATTTTGATTCCGTTGCCACCCTTATGCAATTCTAAATCATTCTTGAGGAAGTCTTTCTTACTTGTCAGGCTGCTTTCCAGAATTATAATTGTTTACAATCTGAAGTTCCATTTCCTGCTATAGGAACTGCTATAATGACAGTTTGGTAAGTATGTGCTTTGTTACAAAACTACTTTTGTCTTAGCTAAATGGGAGAATAATCCTTTCCAGACTACAGTGTATAATCAAGAATGATCTAGGTGTCACTAGCAAAAAGAAGTATGCAACTCACCTGTTCTTCAGAGAGCTGTGAGATGTGATTAACAGCAGCATAGGACTCTATCTTTGGATTGAAGTGGTTGATGATAGCTCTGAAAGGGAGAAGAATGTTAAGCTATACGTGAAGGTTAGAAAGAAATATTTTAATCCACAGTAGCATATTAGCAGATAAAACTTAAAGTGAACAGTTGTAAGAATATATAGCTCTAAATAGAAAAATGGGAACAAAATTGAATCATTCATTTATCACCAAGCTTTCTTTTCATTTTATATATTTAAAACTGGTCCATTTTTGGACTTTTCCTAGAATTGAAACTATGATGTTTGTTTAGAAACTATATAGGTATGAGCATGTACATACTATTTTTTTGCTAATATGCAACTACTGGGATATTTACATTTCAGATAATGTTTCCTCTTTCACAGCCAAAAATGACGTCTTGGCAATGAAAACGTAATATAAAACACTATCCTTGATTTAAGAAGAGCTAAAAGACATTCTTTACTTTTCATAGCCAAAATAACTGCCCCATCAGCAACTTCATAGTTATTTAACTTAAAGACTACGGGCAATCCATGGCCAAATTGTGATATACATCATAGGCTTTATATGCAATGCACTAACCGAGTGGGTCATGGCAGATGGGATAATCTAAATACAGATGTCCCCATAATATTTAATCTGCCAATTAAACATTAGACACAATACAATGCAATTATAATTTGGGAAGTGAAGATAATGTATACTAGGAAGTTAAAATTATGAAGATAATGAAATACTGCTCAAAAGAAGATTTCATAAAGTTTTTATATTTTTAAAAATCAGAATCTATGGCTATAGAAACCATCCCACTATTATCTTTTTCAAGATTTGTTTTTATAGTAAATGTGATAATAGTTCTTATCTCTATAGAGATAAAAATAAGAGAAAATAAGGGCACAATTTCAAATAGTGCAAGAACTTCCTCACTGGGAAAAAAATTAAACAGTAGCACTTTCTAAAATAAATAGACTTTCTCATTTGTAGGAGGTTAACAGCTAAACAAAAGTATTTCAGAAAATATGCAAATATATTTTATGTAATATAAGTCCAAAGATATAGGGTATATTCTTTATGTGCAAAGGAATTATTTTATTTCTATTTTATTTGAAGCTGAAGGAGTTAAAGTTTCAAGCCTAATAATGGTCTCATTTATTTTCTCAATTTCTCTATGCTCTATCATTAGCTTAAGGGATAAATACATGAAGTGAGTATATCCAGCAGATTAGAAAATGAATCTTATCTGAGATCCTTTGTCACACAAGAACCTCTTTTTTTGTTGTCCGTCTGTAACTGCATATGGAAAAGACCTTGGGAAAATAGGCAAAGAGACACTAGCAAGGGAACAGTCAAAGAAGAGATAGCATAGCCCACAATTGGATAGTGGGTGGGGCAACAGGATCAGAATAGACTCACCCTAGTTTTTTGGACAGTAAAATAGACTGGGTTGGGGGTGAGTGGGAAGAATTGTATTTTCAGACTTGTAAGATTGATGTTTATGAGGTAAACCAGAAAGGAAAGACAACCAGATGAGTTAATTCTATTTTACTGTAAAACTACATTAACAGAATCTTGCAAGACTAAAATAAAAAAAAATCCTCTACTCTCTTCTTTATATCATCAATTTACAACTACTGTGCACACTTACATCCATATTCCTGTACCTAACAACAAGGCATACCAGAATGAGAGTTAACACTGGGGTTGCTGCACAAGGGAATTTTATCTAAATGAGGCAGCAGCAGCAGCCAGTGATCTTTGTAGCCTCTCCCTCTCCCCCTCCCTCCCTCCCTCCTCCCTCTCTCTCTCTCTCTCTCTCTCTCTCTCTCTCTCTCTCTCTCTCTCTCACACACACACACACACACACACAAACACAGTCACTTAGTGATCATGCACTTGACAAACATTTCACCAGACTATATTGCAATTTTCTATTGTTTCAAATTACTTTCTCTGTAAGCTTCTTCCAAATTGAATCTTTAAAATTAATTGTATTCTTTAGCTTCTAGAGAATGTTTGCAGAAGTTATTTACTTTTAATTTGAA